TGTTTAAGTATAGTTTCCAATTTTTTTATGGTACATGCATAGATAGACATAAAAAGAAGCCAGGAGGCTGGGCTGTGCTGATTTTCAAGAAAGAATTAGAGTATGAGGTTATGTGGGACTTTTGACCTTTATCAACTAGGAGACTAGCAGATTAGGGGCCCTATAAACCACCTCAGTTGTGCCAGGTCTAGAGTGAGTGAAGACTAAACCACATGCCCACTGAGGGGCTCCTGGCTGGGCAGGAGCAGATAAAGCAAGTTCGAGAACACATAGTAGAGTTCAGTCATCAGGAGCTAGACTCTTGGATCAGTCTTAGATCCATGTGGACAAGGAAATCCCTGTGATGTATGAGAGGGTCCAGATGGCAGGGACACTCAAATATATTCCATTCTAGCTCAGGGGCATGTTCCAAGTTCCTCAAGAGAGACCAAGAACAATGTAAAATAGAAAATGAGTCTGACCCTTTTGATCCCAACATTAAGTCAAAAACATATTGGTTTGGGGTGATCAGTTCCCCTCTCAGCCAACGGGGTAGGGAACTATAGGAGATGAAGATCATGGAGCAGAGGCAGAGACTGATGGCCACAGCAGAACATTACTAGCCCCAGAGGAGGCAGCGAACTCTACTTAGGGTAAGGGAGGAACTCAGGCTTGCAGTGGCTGTGGCTGGGGTGCAGAGGAGAATGTCAGGCACTATGCCATATAGGAGCTTCACCCACACCATCATGTCAAATGCTCATAATGGTCCCAAGATGAGCAGTCTGAGGCCCAGAGAAGTTATGTGGTTTGTCCAAATGCTCACAGCCAGTAAGTGATTGGATGGGATTACCATCTCACTGGAGCTCTTCTCTGCAAAGGGAAAACCACTGAGCAAAGTTATATTAATACAGATTTATCATAATGGTAAGTGGAAAAAGCAAGTTCTAAAAAAATCTTCAATCTTATCCCAACATCCTATTTTGAAAAAAACACATGTATATTACAGGGGGAAAAAGCCGCAAGAATATATACCTTAATGGTGGTTATATCTCAAACAATTTTTTTCTTTCTTTTAGTTTTTTATTTTACCCTGCACAATGAGAACATAAGTCTTCTTAAAACAGGAAAAAAGAAAAGTTTTTTCAGAAGCAGTTGTAAGGACTAAGTGGATCAAAGTAATGAGAATGAATTATAGTGAGCCCTTAATGACAGAGAAATCCAGCTTCTTACTAGCTATGTGAGTTTCAGCAAACCCACTTGGCTTCGCTGAGCCTGTTTCCTAAACACTAAAAAAGGTGGATTATAGTCCTGTCCCAGGGAACTGTTGCCAGGATTAACTGAGGCAATATGTACACAAAAGTCCCAAGCACAGTACTTGGCATAAAAATGGTGTTTAATAAATATTAGACCTGACTCTTGGTAGTCACAGCTCTCCTTAGCCACTCCAAAAAGGCCTAGCCCTTACATCTGGTTTCAGAGAGTAGAAAGGAACCTGGTTCTCTTAGCAGGGGTCCCTTACTTGACCTGGAGCTGCCTATTTCACCTGACACTCTCCCCGCCTCTGTTTTTACCATGTGGAAACAGGACCTTTTTCCTTAACACATTGCCATCTAACTATGTGCCTTTTCCTCTCCCTTGTCTCAACAATCCCAGCTGCCTAGATAATTTTTAGTAACATGTGATATTATTTTCAACATATCACACATTTGCAAAGCATCTAGTATGTTCTAAAGATGGCCCCAAGATTCTCCTCTCTATTCATATTGCCCAGAAATATTTGTATGAGTTCACAGTTTAGTTGAGAATTTAGAACCTTCACCAGCTACCAACTGTTGCCCAAGTGCTATAACAGAGTTACACACAGCATGTTGTGGAGACTTGGGGGGCGCGGGGGAATTTTTGTTCTTACCAGTGTATACACATGTATGGGAGAGGAGTTGAAGAATGAAGTATTTAGTATTTAAAGAGTAATGGTTTTTTAGTTCACTCAGTCGAGTGTGGTGCTGATAACACCAAGGTCAAGTGTTCGAATCCCCATACCAGCCAGCTGCCAATAAATAAATAAATAAATAAATAGTAATGATTTCCTCACCCTGTATGATGCATCAGCTTCATATACTGTCTTTTCTAAAGTGAAAATGTGCCTACTCTGCTAAACTGGTTTTAAAGCAAGTTAAACCAATGCCTGAGTGGGCTGTTTCCTCTCATCTGCAGATTTATTAAAGTCTGTCCACAGCCACAAATTTATGGAAGGCTCAGATCATCTGGTGATCATCTGGTGATTTGACAAATAATATGTGGTTGCTGAGGCAGTGGGGTAGGGAGCAGTTCCAAGGAGTTACAAACTAGCTGAGTGTTCTACTCAGACATTTTAGAGCTTATTGGAATACACACACATTCTGATTAACAGGCAGTTTTAAGAGTCAAAGGGGTGCCAAAACCTGGCATTACTTTATATTTTTATTACTTACTGGGCAAACATTAACATTAATGGAAGTAAAAATAGATCCACCCATAGTTGTCTCCCTAACAAACTAAACTGTTTTCAATTTTCCTTATTCCCAGTCCTTGTTCAAATCCTGGACCCATGGACATGTTAATAATTGCAGATTAGATACAATGATACATTCTACACCTTTTTTCACATACAGATGCTTACACAGAATGATGTTAATAAGTACAGCAATATTCGGGCCCTGTGACAACAGCCCCTTCAGGCCTGTGGATTGACAGTCCTGCAGAAGATGTTGGCAGGGCAGTGAGACACACCCTATTCTGCCTGTTATTTATGCTTCTGGCAGTGAAGCCCCTGACAAAGAAGCATGTCACTGGAACACATGCTCTTTGTTCACAGAGGTGCATGCCAGCACCGGCTGCGTAAGGGACAGTGCCGTGTCTGTAGTCTCTCCTCCTTTGACTCTTTTGCTTTTTATTTGCTGTACATCGGGATGTGTTTATTAATTACTTTGTAGCTTGATCTTATAAAAAACACATTTATTCTGCAATCTATGTACCATGGGGCAAGAGTCCTTCAAACCCTCAAGCTGGCCATAAAGAGAAGACAGTCTCAAGATTTGCCGTTATTCTCCCTAAGGATCAATACCACCTCCTCCTCCACGAGCCACAAGGTTACCTCTCCGTCTAGCACAGAGCTACCACATTCAAGGCTCCTTCAGCTTCTCCCCTTTGCCTGCAAGACGATGCCTGCTGCTGTTTGATATTAAAGGTCCTCTGCAACTGTTCCCAATCTACTGCACCAAAGTAGGCCCTCCATGCTATGACTCTACTCCAGCTATAGCAGAAAAGACGGCAGATTTTGGAGTCAGCCCCATCTGGGTTTATTTTATTTTTGTGTCAGCTGACCAGTACAGGGATGTAACCCTGGACCTTAGTTTTATCAGCACCACACTCTTAAGGAACTGAGCTTACCAACCAGCCCCTCCTCTCCCATCCGGATTTAAACCCTAGCTCCACCTCTTGTCGGCTCTGCATTTTAAGGTTCCTGAGCTTCAGTTCCTCACCTGTAAAAAGATTAAAATATCACCTACTTCACAGGACTGTCTGGTAATTAAATGAGAAAGAATCAAGCCCCTAAAAGAGCCACTCAATAATTGCCTGTTAACTCATGGAACTGATCTGGTAGTTTTTTGTAAAAGCCTTCACTGAATAGCCCTGTGGTTTTCATAACCTTACAGTTACTCTTGTAACCTCTTGAACAGCACATCCCCTCTCCATGTTCTCTTCTCATAGACAAGTCTACAACAGAGTCAGGAAACTACATACCTAGTTTTTGCCTTTTTCTATAATCCTAAAACTTTCTTTTGTTTTGAAATGTTAATTCATTCAATATTTAAAAACTGATATATAATTGGCTTAAAACTAAGTTTGGGCTGCTTGTCACTTAAATAAAATGGGAAGTGAGAAGGGCTTTCTTCCATAAAATGTCAGGTTAATACATAGAATCTTAAGTTTTTCTCTGATAAGTTGTTCTTAATCTTTGGTGCCTCTTGTCCATGCTAAAAATAAGAAGGTAACTGCTTTGACACATAATGTATTTACTTATTTTAAGCTGAGTATAACGTTGCTCCCCCGTGCTTTGCAGAGCCTACTCACCCGGATCTGGTGCTTTAACCCTGAGACTCAGAATCAGACCGTTACAAAGGCTGCCGGCCAGGCTTCACTGAAACGGAGACCATCAAGAATTTACACACCTCACAGGGGTGCCCTAAGGAACAAATGTGATAAAAGCCTGGAGGAAAACTATAAAACTCTGAGGCCTCATTAGAAATGCTAATTGTTTCCTTCGGTAGCTCATACCAAAATATTAGAAAACCGACTCTCCTGGATTGGAGGACGCTTGGCTGCTCCGTGACTTAGGCAAGCGGCCAGGACGGTCCCCCCGTCCGTGGCCGGCCCGGCACAGCCCCGTCTCTCCCCAAATGCCGACACTGGCCGGCAGACATTTCGTCCCGACAGGGGTCCTCGGCAACACTTCCAACCCCACTCCGCCGAGAAGACAGCGGGGTTCCGGCTGTTGGCCCCAGACTGTGCAGCGGGCGGAAGGTCAACTCCAAATACCCTATCCCCGGCTTTCTTCGCGTCTCGTGTCTCCGCGGACGGACTTGGCCTTAGGGACCCTCGAAGACGGACTGTAAAGCCCTCCCCGGCAAACGTCTCAGCGCTGGCCGGAGACTCGCCTCCGAGGACGGCGAGGTAGGGCCGGGGGTCTCAGCCGGACAGTGAGCCGGGAAGCCCCCGAGAAAAGTCTTACATCAGCCGCCCCACGTGCAACCCGAGGGCGGGAGGAAGTCGCTCCACTCCCCCGGGCTGCGCCTTTCCCCCAGCCTCCGCCCCTCCCGCCGCGCGTCTCCCCGCCCCGTCCTTGGTGCAGCCGCGGCCGCCGAGCCGAGCTGCGCAGCGCGGGACCGAGTGGAGCCGAGCAGCCGTCGCGCCGCGTTGCCGGTTTAAGCGCAGTGCGGGCCCGCGGCCGGGGGCGGCGGTAGTGAGGCCAGCGCCGCGCTCCAGCCCCTTTTCCCTCCATGGTTTCTCTCCGCTCCCGTGAGTAACTTGGCTCCGGGGGCTCCGCTCGCTGCCCGCACGCCGCACGCCGCCCGACACCGCGCCGCCAGCCTCTGCCCCGAGCAGACAGACCCCTTCCGACGGCCCTCGCTGCGCAGGCCGGAACGCCTCTCCCCCCTCCGCCCCCGCCGCGGAAAGTTAAGTTTGAAGAGGGGGGAAGAGGGGAACATGGACATGAAGAGGAGGATCCACCTGGAGCTGAGGAACCGGACCCCGGCAGCTGTTCGAGAACTCGTCTTGGATAATTGCAAATCAAATGATGGAAAAATTGAGGGCTTAACAGCTGAATTTGTGAACTTAGAGTTCCTCAGTTTAATAAATGTAGGCTTGATTTCAGTTACAAATCTCCGCGGAAGGGGTAGGGAGCGCGCGGGGATTAACTCTTTGGCGCCCGCGGGCCCTCGCGGCCGCCCGAGGAAGGCGACTGGGAGGGGGTAAAGCAAACTTTGAGCTCTTTGCCCGCCGGGGTCCTCTCTCGGAGGGAGCGCGTGTGCGTGTGGCCGGCGGTGAGGGAGGGAGGTGGGGGTTGTGTAACGCTGGGAGCCATGTTTGCAGCTTCCCGGGATGCGCGGCCGGGCGGAGGCCCGGCCTGGGGAGAAGCCGCGCGGCTCTCCCCGGCTGGGCCCGCCGCCGGCTAGGCCGCCCTCTCCGCGCCCTAGGCCGGCCGGGGAAGGGGCGCGGGTTTTTCCGGTCGGGTCTCGCGGTGGACGCCAGCTTGACCGAGGGCGGGGGCCTCGGGACGAGGAGGGGGCATTTTTCCTTTGAAGGGGGCGAGAAGCCCCCTCAGGCGCTGGGGGCCCGGGCG